GCACTGCGGACTTGCAGAACCCAAGGCTCAACTAGAACAGGGCAATGATGACTTACCTCCTTAGGATTATACTATTCTTTTCTTTTTTTTTTTTTATGAGACACAGTTTCACTTTGTCACCCAGGTTGGAGTGCAGTAGTGCGACCTCGGCTCACTGCAGCCTTTGCCTTCTGGGTTCAAGTGATTCTCGTGCCTAAGCCTCCCAAGTAGCTGGGATTACAAGCGTGTATACTTACCTTCTTAGGATCTTAAAAGATAGATGTTAGTAAAATTGTTAGCAAGACTCCTGGCAAGTAGTGCGTAGCCCTTAAAGAGTGGTTATCACTGTTCCCTGCTTTGAGATGTCATTGAATGTGTCCCTGTCTTTCCAGCTGAGCTATCCAGTGAGTGACCCAGGCTGGGACTGACCCCTGCTGACAAGACCGCCTGGTCTTGTCCCTCTGCCTGAAGCTCAGACAGTACTCTCAAGCATAACTGATGTCTCTCTCATCAGATCCTCCTGGCCAACTTCCTGGCCCAGACAGAGGCCCTGATGAGGGGTAAATCAACGGACGAGGCCCGAAAGGAGCTCCAGGCCGCAGGCAAGAGTCCAGAGGACCTTGAGAAGTTGCTGCCACATAAGGTCAGCACTGCTGCAGTTGGCTTCAAGGTGCATGCTGAAGTTGGAGGGGTGAAGCTGTGGCACCAGGCAGGGGCTTGGGGCGTGCCTGGCTTGTCCTACAGAGTTGGGGGACCTGTTCTCACAGACCTGCATGTCTCAGCCTCTGGGGCAGAGTGTGCTTCCCTTCTAGGGGTTTGGGGATCAGAACTTGTTTAGAGACATTCCTTGGTGTTTTCTGCAGGTCTTTGAAGGAAATCGCCCAACCAACTCTATTGTGTTCACCAAGCTCACACCATTCATGCTTGGAGCCTTGGTCGGTGAGTGAGTAGGGGAAGGTCCTGGCTTGGGGTAGGTTGGAATGGGCTTGCAGAGACCTGATGTGCCCTATCTGTCACCTCTGCAGCCATGTATGAGCACAAGATCTTCGTTCAGGGCATCATCTGGGACATCAACAGCTTTGACCAGTGGGGGTGAGTTGCTCACTTAGGGGAAGGCTGGGAATGCCTTTGGGTCAGCTCAGGGATTTCAATAGCAACATTAGAGCCTTCCTCATACCACTCTTCCTTCCCTTCTTGGCAGAGTGGAACTGGGAAAGCAGCTGGCTAAGAAAATTGAGCCTGAGCTTGATGGCAGTGCTCAAGTGACCTCTCATGATGCTTCCACCAACGGGCTTATCAACTTCATCAAGCAGCAGCGCGAGGCCAAAGTCCAATAAACTCGTGCTCAGCCACAGCCTCCTCTGTGACTGCTCCTTTTCATCCCTCCTCCCCAGAGCCAGAACTGCATGGTCCTGGCCCCCTCCCACCCAGAGTGCCCTCTGGTTTCGGGCTTGGACCACGAGCCCTTTTCGGGGAAGACTGGTCTCGAATTGCTACCCACAAGCCCCTCCATGTCTGCCCTCCCTCTGTATTACAATTGGCTGAAGTGTTTTTGTGCAGCTGACTTTTCTGACCCACGTTCACGCTGTTCACATCCCATGTAGAAAAATAAAGATGCCGCAGAGGAGGCTGTAGGGCTCAGCCTCTGATTTTTTTCCTGAGATGGTGCTTTATGTAGCAGAAGGCAGGTGAGCTCAGCAGGACGCAGGCTGTGCCTCCGTGGACACTGAACACTAAGTGGTTAGCAGGTCTAGAGCGGAGCACGGTGCCTTGAGAAGACAGTAGTGGGGTGAGGGCACAATCAGTCAGGAGGGCAACTTGGCCTGTGTCACCAAATCCCAAAACTATTTTCTACTCCTCACCTCTGTGACTGGAGAAATTGGATACCCTGTTTAATTGATGGTTCTAAAAACTGCATTGAGATTTTGTTTGGGGTGAATTCCTGGACAAGACGAAGGGTGACTGCCATTTCCTGGCAAGACGCTCGGGTAATTCTTTCACTTTAAAAGGCAGACATTGAAAACAGGATTTTTTTTTTCTCGAGACAGAGTTTTGCTCTGTCGCCCAGGCTAGAGTGCAGTGGTAGGATCTCAGCTAACGGCAACCTCCATCTCCCTGGTTCTCCTGCCTCAGCCTCCCAAGTAGCTGGGATTAGGCATGTGCCACCACGCCCAGCTAATTTTTTCATTTTTAGTAGAGATGCAGTTTCACCATGTTGGCCAGGCTGGTCTCGAACTTCTGACCTCAGGTTATCTGCCTGCCTTGGCCTCCCAAAGCACTAGGATTACAGGTATGAGCTGCTGCACCCAGCCTGAATTTTTTTTTTTTTGAGACAGGGTCTTTCTCCGTTGCCCAGGCTGGAGTGCGGTGGCATGATCACAGCTCACTGCAGCCCCAAGCACTCAGGCTCAAGCAATCCTCTTGCCTCAGTCTCCCAAAATTGAGACTACAGGTTGTGCCACTATGCCCTGCTAGTTTTTTAAATTTTTGAAGAGATGGGTCTTGCTATGTTGACCAGACTAAACTGGTCTTGAATTCCAGGGCTCAGGAGATCCTTCCACCTCAGCCTCCCACAGTGCTGGGGTTACAGGCATGAGCCCCCACACCCAGCCTATTCAAAAACATTTTTCTTTTTTCTTTTTTTTTTTGAGATGGAGTTTCGCTCTTGTTACCCAGACTGGAGTGCAATGGCGTGATCTTGGCTCACTGCAACCTCCACCTCCTGAGTTCAGGCAATTCTCCTGCCTCAGCCTCCCGAGTAGCTGGGATTACAGGCACGCACCACCATGCCCAGCTAATTTTTTGTATTTTTAGTAGAGACGGGGTTTCACCATGTTGACCAGGATAGTCTCGATCTCTTGACCTCGTGATCCACCCGCCTCGGCTTCCCAAAGTGCTGGGATTACAGGCTTGAGCCACCGTGCCCGGCCTCAAAAACATTTTTCTTAGAGACAGGGTCTTTGTTGCTGAGGCTAGACTACAGTGTTGCAATCATAGCTGACTGAAGCCTCAACTCAAGCTAAGGTGATTTTCCAAGTAGCTGGGACTACAGACGCATGACAGTACACCCAGCTCATTTCTAAATTTTGGTGGATCAATATAGTGTTGTAAAAGAAAAAAAAAAAAAACTAAATTTTTGTAGTGATAGGGTCTCACTGAGGCAGGAGAATAGGGTCTGGAGACAAGGGAGTGTTCACTTCAGCCTCTGATTGGTTGCAGGCCAAGTCTTTATTTACATAGGATGTAACCGAATAGGAAACCACTAAAGGGTACTTAAACCCCAGATTTTTCAAACAAGGCACTTGCTTGAGCCTCCTCCTGCTTTGTTGAGTGTACTTTCGCTTCAATAAAACTCTGCTTTTGTTCCTCCTTTCTTGCGTTGCTTTGTGTGTTTTGTCCAACTCTTTGTTCAGTATTCCAGGAACCTGGACAACTTGTAGTCAGGACCCTCCACTGGTAACACCACTGTGTTGCCCAGGCTTATCCTGAACTCCTGGGCTCAAGTGATCCTCCTGCCTTGGCCTCCCAAAGTGTTGGGATTACAGGCGCAAGCCACCATACGCAGCATCACTGAGCCTTTTAAAGCTATCAGGTTGAAGTGTGATAGAACAGGAGTAAGCAGGTTTCATCTCCTTGGCTAGAGCCGAACAACACAAAGGCTGGTGCTTCCTCTTTTGAGGTGTAAATCCTTGAAAAACATTTCCTTTGCAAACCATGTTATGAATCCTGAAATAATGTTTTTGCAGCCGGCCTATTTTTAAAAGTCAGGTTTATTGGGGTATAATTTACATATAATAAGATTCACCTTCCTTTGGTATACAGTTATGAGTTTTCACTAGTATATACAGCCTTATAACTATTACAGATGAGATATACAGCATTTTCCTCACCCTAAAAAGTTCCTGATGCTCTGTTGCGGTCCATTCCTACTCCCTCATCCCAGCTCCTGACTACCATTGATCTCATTTTTTTCCCTTAAAGTTCTCCTTTTACCAGAACGGCACCTTTTGTGTCTGGCTTCTTCCCATGATGCTTTTGAAATTCACCCATGTTGTGCTGCAGGATTTAAAAAACTATTGTGTGGCCAGGTGCAGTGGCTCATGCCTATAATACTAATACTTTGGGAGGCTGAGGTGGGTGGATCACTTGAGTTCAGGAGTTCAAAATCAGCCTGGCCAACATGGTGAAACCCCCTTCTTTACTAAAAATATAAAATAATTAGTAGGGCATGGTGGCGGGCACCTGTAATCCCTGCTACGAGGGGGCTGAGGCCAGACAATTGCTTGAACCCGGAAGGCAGAGGTTTCAGTGAGCCGAGATCGTGCCACAGCACTCTAGCCTGGGTGACCCAGCGAGACTCTCTCAAAAACAAAACAAAAATAATGATTGTGAAAATTTTCAAACATACAAAACCCAAATAGTATAAATCTCCATGTGCCTGCCACCAAATTTCAACAATTACCAACTCATGGCCAATCTTACTGTATCTATATCCTACCTCCTCAGTTATGTGGTAGCAAATCTCAGACATTTTATCTATAAACATTTTGGTGTGTTTCTCTAAAGATAAGAACTTTATTGTTTTTAATGATTGATAACACCATTATCCCATCTAAAATTTTTATTTTCTGGAAAGGCTTTTTGGAGCCTGGGTCCCCCCGTGGCTCACACCTGTAATCCCAACACTTTGGGAGGCTAAGGCGGGAGGATCGCTTGAGCCCAGGAGTTCAAGACCAGTGTGGGCAATATAGCAAGACATAGTCTCAAGAAAAGAAAAAAAGCTTTTTGGCAAAACTACTTCCTAGTCGATGGTGGTACTTCTATCGCAGCGCATTTTGGGGCACATACTGCCTGGGACTCCCGGATTCCGAGTAAGCCCCTGACGCCAGCAGGCACCTCTGTGGCTCTAGGACCTGAGTGCATTCGCCTTAAAGCCACGCCTCCGCATCGGATCCCAATGAGGGGGCGGGGCTACCGCGCTAACGTAAGTGTTACGCGTGCGCAGACCGATGCGCCCGCTCGGCTGCCGTAGTTCGCGTTTCCACCTGGTCGCCCGGCGGCTATGGCGGCTGTTCCGAAGCCGGTGCTGCTAGGACTTCGAGATGCGCCAGTGCACGGCAGCCCCACAGGGCCGGACGCCTGGACTGCTAGCAAGCTGGGCGGCATTCCGGTGAGAGTGGGCGCCGGAGCCGGGGTCGGTGGGTGCTGGTGAAGGGTGCAGAGGGAGCGGGTGAGGTCCCGGGGGGAGTCGGGGTCTGAGCGCCTTCTCTGCCCTCAGGATGCTCTGCCCACCGTGGCTGCGCCCAGGCCCGTGTGTCAGCGCTGTGGGAAGCGGCTCGCCCTGGTCGTGCAGGTGTACTGCCCGCTGGAAGGCTCCTCGTTTCACCGGCTGCTGCACGTGTTCGCGTGCGCCTACCCCGGCTGCAGCACCGGCGGTGCGCGCAGGTAGGTGGGGAAGGCATGGAGCTGCTCCCGGGGCGTCCTTCCCAGCGGGCAGGGGCGGACCGGCGGGCTGGAGTCGGAGTGCAGCCCTCACGGCCCTTTGTCTTCACCCCGAAGCTGGAAGGTGTTCCGCTCCCAGTGCCTGCAGGTGCCAGAGAGAGAGACTCAAGACGCTCAGGTAAAGCGGTTGTGATTGGCATGTTACTGTTTTCCTGTCATTTGAAGATATTTTTCAGAATATAGTTTGGGACAGACTTTGAAGCCGTGTTCTTTGAAGTACATTGGAATATTTTTGCTGGTTTGCAGAATCGTAAAACTTAATTTTCTTAAGGTTTTGGTAAGGGTTTTTTGGTTTTTTTTTTCAGACGGAGTCTCACTCTGTTGCCGAGGCTGGAGTCCAGTGGCACGATCTCGGCTCACTGCAACCTCCGCCTTCCAGATTCAAGCAATTCTCCTGCCTCAGCCTCCTGAGTATCTGGGATTACAGGCACGCGCCACCATACCCAGCTTTTTTTGGTATTTTTGGTAAAGACGGGGTTTCACCATGTTGGTCAGGCTGGTCTCGAACTCCTGACCTTGTGATCCGCCCGCCTAGGCCTCCCAAAGTGCTGGGATTACAGGAATGAGCCACTGTGCCCGGCCAAGGGCTTTTGTTTTATTTTGTTTTTTCCTTCTATTTTCCTTTATTTTTATTTACTTTTTTTGTATATCATTTTTTTAAAATTTATTTTTCACAAAGGAGATCTTCTCAAAAGATGTGATATATCAATTGATAAGCTTTAATACACATTTATAATAAAATTTCTCTTTTTTTTAATAAGTAAAAGAATAAAGAAGAAGAAAGAGGAAGAGGGAGAGAAGATGGGGGTATTGCTTTATTGCCCGGCCTAGAATGCAATCTAAATATGGGTATGCCTATAATTGTCCTTAATAATGAAGATATAAAAGAAAATGAGGGAAGAGAATAACAAACAAGGAGCCAACCAACATTTCGTTTAAACTTCTAAGTTGATATGATGTGGTACTGATAAGAGTGTATATTTTGTATATTTAAAGTGGAGAGTTCTATAAATGTTAATTACATTTACTTGTTGCAGATCTGAGTTCAAGTCCTGGATATCGTTATTAATTTTCTGTCTCATTGATCTGTCTAATATTAATGTTGAAGTCTCCCACTATTATTATGTGGGAGTCCAAGTCTCTTTATAAGTCTTGTATGTCTGGGTATTCCTGTATTGGGTGTGTATATATTTAGGATCTTTAGCTCTTCTTGTTGTTGCATTGATCCTTTTATCATTATATAATGTCCTTCTTTGCTTCTTTTGATCTTTGTTGCTTAATTGTAACTTCTGCTTTTTATTTATTTATTTTAGCTCTTTGGTTAGTAAATCCTTCTCCATCCCTTGTTTTGAGTCTTTGTGTATCCTTGAACGTGAGATGGGTCTGGATGCAGCATACTGATGGGTTTTAGTTTTTTATTCAAATTGCCTGTCTGTCTTTGGATTGGGGGATTTAGTCAATTTAAATTTAGAATTAATAATAATATATGTGAGTTTAATACTGCCATTTAATATTAGCTGGCTATTTTGCCCATTAGTTGATGTAAATTCTTCATTATATTGATGCTCTTTTTGGTGTTTTTTTAGAAAGGCTGATACTGTTTGTTCCTGTCTATGTGTAGTGGTTCTTTCGGAAGCTCTTGTAAAGCAGGCCTGGTGGTGATGAAATCTCTGAGTGCTTGCTTATTCATAAAAAACTTTATTTTTCCTTCACTTGTGAAGCTTAGTTTGGCTGGATGTGAAATTCTGGGTTGAAAGTTCTTTTCTTTAAGGATGTTGAATATTGGTCCCCACTCTCTTCTGGCTTGTAGGGTTTCTGCTGAGAGATCTGCTGTAAGTCTGATAGGCTTCCCTTTGTGGGTAACCTGACCTTTCTCTCTGGCTGCCCTTAGTATTTTCTCCTTCATTTCAACCCTGGTGAATCTGACGATTATGTGCCTTGGAGTTGCTCTTCTTGAGGAATATCTCTGTGGTGTTCTCTGTATTACCTGGAGTTGAATATTATCCTGCCTTACTAGGTTGGGAAAATTTTCCCAAATAATGTACTGAAGCGTATTTTCCAGCTTGGATTCATTCTCTTCGTCACATTCAGGTACACCTATCAAGTGTAGATTAGGTCTTTTCACATAGTCCCATATTTCTTGGAGACTTTGCTCGTTCCTTTTTATCCTTTTTTTCTCTGATCTTGTCTTCTTGTTTTATTTCATTGAGTTGGTCTTCGACTTCTGATATCCTTTCTTCTGCTTGATCAATTCGGCTGTTAAAACTCGTGCATACTTCATGTAGTTCTCGTATTGTGTTTTTCAGCTCCATCAATTCACTTATATTCCTCTCTAAATTGTGTATTCTTGTTAACATTTCATCATATCTTTTTTCAAAGTTCTTAGTTTCTTGGGATTGGTTTAAAACAAGTTCTTTTTTTTTTTTTTTTTTTTTGAGGCGGAGTTTCGCTCTTGTTACCCAGGCTGGAGTGCAATGGCGCGACCTCGGCTCACCGCAGCCTCCGCCTCCTGGATTCAAGCAATTCTCCTGCCTCAGCCTCCTCAGTAGCTGGGATTACAGGCACGTGCCGCCATGCCCAGCTAACTTTTTAGTATTTTTAGTAGAGACGGGGTTTCACCATGTTGACCAGGATGGTCTCGATCTCTTGACCTCGTGATCCACCCGCCTCGGCCTCCCAAAGTGCTAGGATTACAGGCTTGAGCCACCGCGCCCGGCTTTTTTTTTTTTTTTTAAGAAGGAGTTTCACTCTTGTTACCCAGGCTGGAGTGCAATGGCGCAATCTTGGCTCACCGCAACCTCTGCCTCCCGGGTTCAGGCAATTCTCCTGCCTCAGCCTCCTGAGTAGCTGGGATTACAGGCACGCGCCACCATGCCCAGCTAATTTTTGTATTTTTAGTAGAGACTGGGTTTCACCATGTTGACCAGGATGGTCTTGATCTCTTGACCTCGTGATCCACCCGCCTCGGCCTCCCAAAGTGCTGGGATTACAGGCTTGAGCCACTGCACCCGGCCAACAAGTTCTTTTAATTCACAGAAGTTTCTCATTATCCACATTTTGAAGCCTGCTTCTGTAATTGGAACACACTTGTTCTCCATCAAGCCTTGTTCCGTTGCTGATGAGGAACTGTGATCCCCCGCTGAGGGAGAGGCGTTCTGATCTTGGGTATTCTCAGCCTTTTTTGGCTGTTTTCTTCCCTTTGTTATAAATTTATCCATCTGTGGTCTTTATATTTACCGTCTTTGTAATTGGGTTTCTGAGTGGACGTCCAACTTATTGATTCTCAGCGTCGAAATCTGAGCAACCCACTGCGCCGACTAAATCAGCGGCGTTAAGACTGATGGTGCTTTTCTGACTCTGCACCAAGAACCGACGCTCCGAGGCGCCCGCAAAACCGCCTCACAGGTCACAAGAGTCGCGCTGGCGACCCGTGGGGCTCCTTTATTTTTATTTTCTAACTCCTGGGCCTGGCATGGTGACTCAGGCCTGTGATTCCCAACATTTTTTTGAGAGGCTGAGGTGAGAGGATTGCTTGAGCTCAGAAGTTGGAGACCAGGCCGGGTACCTTGGCTCATGCCTGTAATCCCAGCACTTTGGGAGCCTGAGGTGGGCAGATCACCTGAGGTCAGGTGTTCAAGACCAGCGTGGCCAATATGGTGAAACCCTGTCTCTATTAAAAACAAAATAGGCCGGGCGCGGTGGCTCAAGCCTGTAATCCCAGCACTTTGGGAGGCCGAGGCGGGTGGATCACGAGGTCAAGAGATCGAGACCATCCTGGTCAACATGGTGAAACCCCGTCTCTACTAAAAATACAAAAAATTAGCTGGGCATAGTGGCGCGTGCCTGTAATCCCAGCTACTCAGGAGGCTGAGGCAGGAGAATTGCTTGAACCCAGGAGGCGGAGGTTGCGGTGAGCCGAGATCGCGCCATTGCACTCCAGCCTGGGTAACAAGAGCGAAACTCCGTCTCAAAAAAAAAAAAAAAAAAAAAAAAAAACAAAATATTAGTCAGGCATGGTGGCAGGTCCCAGCTGCTAGGGAGGCTGAGGGAGGAGAATTGCTTGAACCTGGGAGGCAGAGATTGCAGTGAGCCAAAATCATGCCACTGCACTCCAGCTTGCGCAACAGAGTCAGACTTCATCTTAAAAACAAAGACAAAAGAGAAGTTGCAGACCAATCTGGGCAACATAGCAATACATCATCTCTATAAAAAGTAAAAAACAGGCTGGGCGCAGTGGCTGAAGCCTGTAATCCCAGCACTTTGGGAGGCCGAGGCGGGTGGAGCACGAGGTCAAGAGATCGAGACCATCCTGGTCAACTTGGTGAAACCCCGTCTCTACTAAAAATACAAAAAATTAGCTGGACATGGTGGCACGTGCCTGTAATCCCAGCTACTCAGGAGGCTGAGGCAGGAGAATTGCCTGAACCCAGGAGGCGGAGGTTGCGGTGAGCCGAGATCGCGCCATTGCACTCCAGCCTGGGTAACAAGAGCGAAACTCCGTCTCAAGAAAAAAAAAAAAAGGGCCGGGCACGGTGGCTCAAGCCTGTAATCCCAGCACTTTGGGAGGCCGAGGCGGGTGGATCACGAGGTCGAGAGTTCGAGACCATCCTGGTCGACATGGTGAAACTCCGTCTCTACTAAAAATACAAAAAATCAGCTGGGCATGGTGGCGTGTGCCTGTAATCCCAGCTACTCAGGAGGCTGAGGCAGGAGAATTGCCTGAACCCAGGAGGCGGAGGTTGCGGTGAGCCGAGATCGTGCCATTGCACTCCAGCCTGGGTAACAAGAGCGAAACTCCGTCTCAAAAAAAAAAAAAATTAGCCGGGCATTGTGGCTGTGTAACTGTGGTGCCAGCTACTCAGGAGGCCGAGGTGAGAGGATTGTTTGAGTCCAGGAGGTCAAGGCTGCAGTGAGCTACAGTTGTGCTACTGCACTCCAGCCTGGGTGACAGAGCCAGACCCTGTCTCCAAAAAAAAAGCAGGATGGAGACTTCCTCCTGGATTTCTTCAACATTTTTTAACTATAAATTGACAGTTTATAATAATGTATAAATTTAAACATTAGAGGTATAAAGTGATGCTTATGATTCATTAATATGATATGGAATAATTAAATCAAGCCAGTTAATTCATTCGTTGCCTCAAATACTTAACATCTTGTGAGAACATTTAAAATTTCCTCTTGCAATTTTGAGATATACAATACTCTGTTATTAACTATATCCATGCTGTGCAATAGAATTTTTTAAAACCCACATTCCTCCTATATAACTGATGTTTTGTATTCTTTGACCATCATCTCCTTATTGCCACCATGCCCTGCTAATTTTTTTGTATTTTTAATAGAGATGTGGTTTCACTGTGTTGGGCAGGCTGCTCTCGAACTCTTGACTTCATGTGATCCATCCGCCTCAGCCTCACAAAGTGCTGGGATTGCAGGCGTGAAGTTGCAGTGAGTCGAAATCGCGCCACTGCACTCTCCACCTCCTGGCTTTAAGCTATTCTCCTGCCTCAGCCTCCCTGGTAGCTGAGATTACAGGTACCTGCTACCTTGCCTGGCTAATTTTTTTTGTTTTTGTTTTTTCAATAGAGACAGGGTTTTGCCATGTTGGCCAGGCTGGTCTCGAACTCCTGACCTTAGGTGATCCACCCACCTCGACATGCACCACCATGCCTGGCTTTTAAGCTGAGGCAGACTTAACACAGGAGTGCGGTTTTTTTACTAAGTGGATAGGCTGAAGGAAGAGGCTCCAGAAATGCCCTCTAGAATCACACCTCAGAACTGGCCATGAAGGAGCTGCTGTACCACCTATCCTATAGTCAAGAAGCCTAGCTTTGATCTGGTGAACTAGAAGCTGTCCTTGTCACAGAACTGTTGGCTCCAAAGCCTTGTTCTGTCTGTGTCCGCAGACTGGCTGCCTTTTGCTTCATGCCCTTTCTACTTCACTCTGTCTCAAGTTTATGTCTCTCTCTAGTGGCCCTGATTAGTAGACCCCCTAATCTTATCTGAAACCCTGTCTGCTAAGGATTCTGGGAAATGTAGTTCTTTCTTTTCACTTCCTGTAATACATGAAGCAGAACAGAAAGATATTGGAACAGATGGTTGAGAAACTACGTACTATATCTGTCACACTGGCCCCGAAAAGGAAAGACAAGTATTTTAAGTTGCCTCCGACATGCTTTTGAGTACATAGGGTCTAGAAAGTTGGACTGGAGTGTGCCAGAGGGGAAGGGGCTAGTGTGAAGGCTCCATCTGGAAGGCATAGGGAAGTGTGGCTGGAGCTGAAGGAATAGAATAAACCTCCCAAGTGTGCTTGGACCTCATTCACTGGATATTTTTCCAGAAACAGGAAAACAGCCTTGCAGCTGAGGACTGGTGTGAAGGTGCAGATGACTGGGGAAGTGACACTGAGGAGCTGCCTTTACCGCAGCTTACCTTGGATTCTAGGAATGATGCCAACAGTGCCAAAGACATAGACTGGACTGCTCGGCTGCAAGACCTCCACCTGCAGGATGCTGTCCTGGGTGCTGCCCCTCCTGCGCCTCCTGGGATGCCACCATTCCTGCCCTACTACATCTGTGTTGCAGACGAGGATGATTACAGGGACTTTGTCAACCTGGATCATGCCCACAGCCTTCTGAGGGACTATCAGCAGAGAGAAGGAATTGCCATGGATCAGTTGCTTTCCCAAAGGTGAGGATGTGTGCTGCTGAGGTTGAGAGGTGACCTGATTGGGAAGCAGCCACAGTGGTTACCCTTCAGTTTCACCCCGGGACCTGGAGAAACATGCAGAACTTGTATGTAGGACCTTTTCATTTCACTTCCTTAACAGCCAACTTAAATTAGCTTGAAAACACTGCTCTATTTATAATTATTGTTAAGAAAGTGAACAAAGATGAAGAAACAAGTTAGAGATGGCAAGTATTTATAGAAGTTGCGTTCACTGACTCTTTAACTTTTTCTTTTTCTTTCTTTTTTTTTTTTTTTTTGAGACAAGAGTTTCGCTCTTGTTACCCAGGCTGGAGTGCAATGGCGCGATCTCGGCTCACCGCAACCTCCATCTCCTGGGTTCAGGCAATTCTGCTGCCTCAGCCTCCCGAGTAGCTGGGATTACAGGCACGTGCCACCATGCCCCAGCTAATTTTTTGTATTTTTAGTAGAGACGGGGTTTCACCATGTTGACCAGGATAGTCTTGATCTCTCGACCTCGTGATCCACCCGCCTCGGCCTCCCAAAGTGCTGGGATTACAGTTGTTTTGTTTTGTTTTGTTTTGTTTTGTTTTGTTTTGTTTTGTTTTGTTTTTTGAGACAGAGTTTTGCTGTTGTTACCTAGGTTGGAGTGCAATGGCGCAATTTCGGCTCACCGCAACCTCCGCCTCCTGGGTTCAGGCAATTTCTCCTGCCTCAGCCTCCTGAGTAGCTTGGATTAACTTTTTATTTCTAAAATGTCCTTACAGCAGAGGCAGGTAAGTTAGAAAACTGCCATTTGATCTAAGACTGGAGCGAAAACATGGAAAACGGAAAAGAAAAATGCCGTTTATTTATTGACTCTTGGCTGTGGCTCTAGAACTGGCCCAGGACCTCAGAGATGCTTTCAGATCTTCAGTTACCTCCTGTAAAGTGAGAGTGATGGTGGTATCTCTGTTCTCTGTCTCATCACATGATTTTGAGAGTCAAGTGAGATGTTAGATCTTGAAAGGCTTTATAAACCAAAGCTCTCTAAAGAAGTAAGAATGATCATTTTTGCTTATTGATTGATTGATTGAGAGAGACAGGGTCTCTCTTTGTCACCCAGGCTAGAGTGTAGTGGTATGATCACAACTCACAGCAGCCTCAAACTCCTAGGCTCAAGCAGTCTGCCTCAGCTTCCCAAGTAGCTGGGAGTATAGGTGCATACCACTATGCCTGACTAATTACAGATTTTTTTGTGTGTGAGTTTCACTCTTGTTGCCCAGGCTGGAGTGCAATGGCATGATCTCAGCTCACTGCAACCTCTGACTCCTGGCTTTAAGTGATTCTCCTGCCTCAGCATCCCGAGTAGCTGGGATTACAGGCATGCGCCACAATACCTGGCTAATTTTTGTATTTTTAGTACAGATGGGGTTTCACTATGTTGGTCAGGCTGGTCTCAAACTCCTGACCTCAGGTGATCCACCTGCCTTGGCCTCCTAAAGTGCTGGTATTACAGGTGTGAGCCACTGCACCTGGCCCTACAATTTTTTAATTTTTAAAATTTTTATGTATTTACTTATTTTTGGTGGCTTCCTTCAGACTAGAGTTTTGTTTGTTTGTTTGTTTGTTTAAAGATGAGATCTTCTGGGCCGGGCACAGTGGCTCAAGCCTGTAATCCCAGCACTTTGGGAGGCCGAGGCGGGTGGATCACGAGGTCGAGAGATCGAGACCATCCTGGTCAACATGGCGAAACCCTGTCTCTACTAAAAATACAAAAAAAATTAGCTGGGCATGGTGGCACATGCCTGTAATCCCAGCTACTCAGGAGGCTGAGGCAGGAGAATTGCCTGAACCCAGGAGGCGGAGGTTGCGGTGAGCCGAGATCGTGCCATCGCACTCCAGCCTGGGTAACGAGCGAAACTCCGTCTCAAAAAAAAAAAAAAAAAAAGATGAGATCTTGCTTTGTTGCCTAGGCTGGAGTGATACGGTGTGGTATGGCCATGGCTTTTTTTTTTGAGACAGTCTCGCTCTGTTGCCCAGGCTGGAGTACAGAGGCACTCAGCCCACTGCAACTTCTGCCTTGCAGGCTTAAGCAATTCTCATGCCTCAGCCTACCAAGTAGTTGCAACCACAGGTGTGCTCCACTGCACCCAGCTAATTTTTGTATTTTCTTTTTAATAGGGATGGGCTTTTGTCATATTGGCCAGGCTGTTCTTGAACTCCTGGCCTCAAATGATCTGTCTACCTCAGTCTCCCAAAGTACTGGGATGACAGATGTGAGCCACCATGCCCAGTCTGCTCATGGTTTACTGAAGCCTCAAACGCCTGGCCTCAAGGGATTCTCTGGCCTCAGCTTCCCCAGTAGCTGGGACTACAGGTGTGTGCCACCAAACTCAGCTAATTAAAATTTTTTTTTTTTTTTTTTTTTTTTTGAGACAGAGTCTCACTTTGTCACCCAGGGTGAAGTGCCATGGTGTGATATTGCTCACTGCAACCTCCACCTCCCAGGTTCAAGTGATCCTCCTGCCTCAACCTCCCAAGTAGCTGGTATTACAGGCACCTGCCACCATACCCAGCTAATTTTTCTATTTTTAGTAGAGATGGGGTTTCATCATGTTGGCCAGGCTGGTCTTGAACTCCTGACCTCAAGTGACCAACCGTCCTCGGCCTCCCAAAGTGCTGGGATCACAGACGGGAGTCCCCGCACCCAGCCAAAATTTCTTTCTTTAATTTTTTTTTTTTGAGAAAGAGTCTCATTCTTTTGCCAGGCTGGATTGTAGTGGCATGATCTCGGCTCACTGCAACCTCTGCCTTCCACGCTCCACTGATCCTCTCACCTCAGCCTCCCAAGTAGCTGGGACTACAGGCATGCACCACCATACCCAGCTGACTTTTGTATTTTTAGTAGAGATGGGGATTTCACCATATTGGCCAGGATAGTCTCAATATTTTGACCTCGTGGTCCAACCGCCTCAGCCTCCCAAAGTGCTTGGATTACAGGTGTGAGCCACTGGGTCCAGCCATCAAAATTTTTTTTTTATAGAGCTGAGGTCTTGCTATGTTGCTCAGGCTGGACTTGAATTCCTAGTTTCTTTTTTTTTTTTTTTTTTTTTGTGTGAGACCGAGTTTCCCTCTTGTTACCCAGGCTGGAGTGCAATGGCGCGATCTCAGCTCACTGCAATCTCTGCCCCCTGGGTTCAGGCAATTCTCCTGCCTCAGCCTCCTGAGTAGCTGGGATTACAGGCACACGCCACCATGCCCAGCTAATTTTTTGTATTTTTAATAGAGACGGGGTTTCTCCATGTTGACCAGGATGGTCTCGATCTCTTGACCTTGTGATTCGCCCGCCTCGGCCTCCCAAAGTGCTGGGATTACAGGCTTGAGCCACCGCGCCCGGCCTTGAATTCCTAGTTTCAAGCGATTTTCCTGCCATGGCCTTCCAAAGTGTTGAGATTACACATGTGAGCCACTGTGCCCTGCGACTTTTTAAATTATAAATACCCAAGAGTTGAAAATGGCTTGGGATAAGGGTGGGACAGGGGACTACAGAACTACAAGTACACAATTTAAATGTTAAAAATATTCACTTGACAGTTTTTGGCTGGGTGCATTGGCTCACGCATATAATCCCACCACTTTGGGAGGCCGAGACAGTTGGATCACTTGAGTTCAGGAGTTGCAGACCAGACTGGCCAACATGGCAAAACCCTGTCTTTACTAAAAGTAAAAAAATTAGTTGGGTGTGTTGGTGCATGCTTGTAATCCTAGCTACTCGGGAGGCTGAGGCAGGAGAATTGCTTGAACCCAGGAGGCAGAGGTTGCAGTGTGCTGAGATCCCCCCCACTGCCTTCCACCTTTGAGAGGTGACCCTCTCAAAAAAAAAAATTTTTTTTTTTACTTTGTAGTTTTACAATTTTTTACTTTGACAGTTTTTTTCGTTTTTTTTTTTTTTTTTCTTTTTGAGACAGGGCTTCACGCTGTTACCCAGGCTGCAGTGCAGTACTCATGGCTTACCACAGCCTCACCTCTGTAGTAGCTGGGACCACAGGTGCATGCCACCAAACCCAGCTAATTTTTGTATTTTTCTGTAGAGACAAGGTTCTGCCATGTTGCCCAGAATGGTTTTGAACTCCTGAGCTCAAGTGATCCTCCTGCCTTGGCCTCCCAAAGTGCTGGGATTACAGGCATGAGGCCACTGTGCCGGCCTGATAATTTTTTTTGTTTTTGAGAGAGTTTCACTCTTGTTGCCCAGGCTGGAGTGCAATGGCACAATCTTGGCTCACTGCAGTCTCTGCCTCTCGGGTTCAAGCGATTCTCCTGCCTGGGCCTCCCAAGTAGCTGGGATTACAAGTTCCTGCTACCATGCCCTGATAATTTTTTGTATTTTTAGTAGAAATGGGGTTTCACGATGTTGGCCAGGCTGGTCTCAAACTCCTGACCTCAAGTGATCCACCTGCCTTGGCCTCCTAAAGTGCTGGCATGACTGATAGAGTTTTTTAAAAGAAAATTATCTTGTTTTGTCTTGCATATGCTGTAATTTTCTGGATATAGATACTCAAAAATGTTTCTGCTTCTGTTTTTAGCCTTTCTAATGATGGTGATGAGAAATATGAGAAGACTATAATTAAAAGTGGAGATCAGACGTTTTACAAATTCATGAAGCGAATTGCTGCTTGTCAGGAGCAGATTTTAAGGTAAAAAAAAAGGCACAGTTCCTTTTATTGTATTCTTTGATTATAAAGGTAATACTTGTTAGTTTGGAAAACACAGAAAAATATGAGAAAACCAAAAGCTACAGTATTCTCTAAGCCAAGAGAGAACCTAATACCAGCTTTATAGTACGTGTAGGAGGATTCAGTAAGGTAAGGCGCACTCATCGTCAGCAAATACTTACGGAGTCTACTCTGCATGCCAGGTGCTGCTCTGCGTAGGTGCTGCAGATATAGCAGGAAATCACATAGACGAAGTCTATGTTGTCATAGCCTTTATTATTATTGTTTGTTTATTTATTTATTTTCTTTGAGAGGGAGTTGTGCTCTGTTGCCGAGACTGGAATATAGTAGCGTGATCTTGGCTCACTGCAATCTCCACCTCCTGCATTCAAGCAATTCTCCTGCCTCAGCCTCCCGAGTAGTTGGGATTACATGTGCTAACCACCACACCCAGCTAATTTTTTTTTGTATTTTAGTAGAGACAGAGTTTCATCATGTTGGCCAGACTGATCTCGAACTGCTGTCCTGAAGTGATCCGCTCGCCTCAGCCTCCCAAAGTGCTGAGATTACAGGCGTGAGTCACCACACCTGGCCTTAATTTTTTTTTTTTCTGACATAGTCTTGCTCTGTTGCCCAAGCTGGAGTGCAGTGGTGTGATCAGTCATAGCTCAGTGCACCCTTGACCTCCTGGGCTCTTTGGTTTGTGTGTGTGGTTTTTTTTTTGTTTGTTTGTTTTTTCCAGAAATGGTAATTCATTATATTGGCCAGGCTGGTTCCAAACTTCTGGGCTCAAGCCACTAATCTGCCTTGACCTCCCAGAGTTTGTTCTAGGATTACAGGCATGACCCACTGTGCCTGGCCTATTATTACTATTTTTTTTTTAATCTTTTTTAGAGATAGGATCTTATTCTGTTGCCCAGGCTGGAGTACAGTGAGTGGCATGATCATTGCTCACTGTAACCTTACCTCCTGGGCTCAAGTGATCTTCCCAAGTAGTTAGAACTACAGGTGTGTGCCACCATGTGTGGCTAATTTTTTAAAAAATGTATTTTGTAGAGGTGGTGTCTGACCATGTTGCCCAGTCTGGTCTCAAGCTCCTGGCCTCAAGTGATCCTCCTACCACAGCCTTCCAAAGTGCTGAGATTATCAGCATAAGCTGTAACCCCCAGCCCATATACTTATATTTATTTTTATTTTTAAATTTTTTTTTTTTGAGACAGAGTCTTGCTCTGTTGCCATAAAATATAATAATGTGTCCACAAAAAGTTTTCTTATTTTGGAAACGGAGTCTGTCTCTGTTGCCAAGGCTGGAATGCAATGGCACAATCTCGGCTAACTGCAACCTCCATCTTCTGGGTTCAAGCAATTCTGCCTCAGTCTCCTGAGTAGCTGGTACTACAGACATGTGCCACCATGCCTGGCTAAGTTTTGTATTTTTAGTAGAGACAAGGTATCAGCATGTTGGCCAAGATGGTCTTGAACTACTGACCTCTGATCATCCACCCACCTTGGCCTCCCAAAGTGTTAGGATTACAGGCATGAGCCTCTGTGCCTGGCCTAAGAATTTTCAATTAATGTGTCCGGGCTGGGCTCAGTGGCTCACACCTGTAATCCTGGTACTTTGGGAGGTTGAGGCAGGTGAATCACAGGATCAGGAGATCAAGACCATCCTGGCCAACATGGTGAAACCCCATCTCTACTAAAAATACAGAAATTACTGGGCATGGTGGCACACGCCTGTAGTCCTAGCTACTTGGGAGGCTGAGGCAGGAGAATCACTTAAATCCGAAAGGCGGAGGTTGCAGTGAGCTGAGATTGCGTCACTGCCCTCCAGCCTAGCAACAAAATGAGACTGTCTCAAAAAAAAAAAAAATGTGTCTGGAAGGAAGCACATAGGCGGAGAGTTTGCACCTTCTAATGTAGAGGATGGTGGATCCAGCTATGGCTGAAGAACTGGGTGTGGTGGGGAGGTGGTGTAAGAATGAGAGATTGCCTCTCAGAGGCAGCATTCGTTTATTCCATGATGAGTCAGAGCAATGATTGGAAAGTTAAGGGCAGTTTCACCTTCATTAGAGTAGAATCTTTCTCAATATACAGCAATTTACAGTGTCTCAGAGGAAAAAGCAAAGCCCGGTTATTCTAATAAAGATTGCATCTGGCTGGCCACGATGGCTGACGCCTGTAATCCCAGCACTTCGGGAGGCCAAGGCAGGCAGTTCATGAGGTCAAGAGATTGAGACCATCCTGGCCAACATGGTGAAACCCTGTCTTTACTAAAAATACAAAAATTAGCTGGGTGTAGTAGCACATGCCTGTAGTTCCAGCTACTTGGGATGCTGAGGTAGGAGGGTCACTTGAACCCGAGCGGTGGAGGTTACAGTGAGCCGAGATCGCACCACTGCACTCTAGCTTGGCGACAGAGCAAGACTCCCTCTCTGGAAAAAAAAAAAAAAAAAAAAAAGATTGCATCCAGTCCCAGAACTATCTCCTCACCCCAGTTCTCTTTTTTACTACCTCAGAAATGAAGAGGAAAGGGATAATACTCTTAGGGGAAAAACAGATCTCAGATATGAGATGGACAGGAAATCAGTGAGAACCTCTGCAGATATTTCAGAGCAAATAGATGGTCTAAACTGAGATGGCCCCTTTAGGCGTGAGCTAGACGAAAAGCAGCATGCCACCTAGGTAATTATACTGTGGCAAGAATAGTTAAGGAAATGAGGAAAACTTACAAAAACCTCAAGAACCAAGTCTGTCGGGCCCGGTGGCTCACACTTGTAATCCCAGCACTTTGGGAGGCTGAGGTGAGTTGATCATGAGGTCAGGAGATCGAAACCATTCAAGCCAACATGGGAAACCCCATCTCTACTAAAAGTACAAAAATTTGCCGGACTTGATGGCGGGCACCTGTAGTCCCATCTACTCAGGAGGCTAAAGCAGGAGAATCGCTTGTACCCAGGAGGTGGAGGTTGAAGTGAGCCAAGATGGCACCACTGCACTCCAGCCTGGGTGACAGAGACTCGTCTCAAAAAAAAAAAAAAAAAAGAAAGAGCCGGGCGCAGTGGCTCAAGCCTGTAAGCCCAGCACTTTGGGAGGCCAAGGCAGGTGGATCACGAGGTCAAGAGATCGAGACCATCCTGGTCAACATGGTGAAACCCCGTCTCTACTAAAAAATACAAAAAAGTAGCTGGGCATGGTGGCGCGTGCCTGTAATCCCAGCTACTCAGGAGGCTGAGGCAGGAGAATTGCCTGAACCCAGGAGGTGGAGGTTGCAGTGAGCCAAGATCGCGCCATTGTGCTCCAGCCTGGGTAATAAGAGCGAAAACTCTGTCTCAAAAAAAAAAAAAAAGAAAGAAAGAAAATATAATCCAAGGAGAACATCAGTCCTAGTAGATGCTTCAAAATGTATAAGAACTTCATAAGACAATGAATTCAATAAAACAAGAACTCAATGGTGAGAGAATAAAGTATGTATGTATGAATTGGAATTGAATTCCTAAGGAAACCAAGCCCCATGACATTACATATGAAATACATATAGAATATAAAGAACATAATAGACTTGGCTAAAGATGAAAGTACTGACATAGAGGAAAGACTTGAGCTAATCCAGTGAATGCATTAAGAAAAAGAGAAAATGTTCACAGAAAAGATGGTATCTTTGTAGGATTGACAAATATATTTACTATGAGGAGAATTGGTGTCCAAAACAGAGAAGCTAATAGATGGATCAGAAACAATATTCAGAGATATAACTGGGAATTTCTCCTTAATGAAATAAGAACTAAATATGCAAATACTAAAGTACAGTGAATATAGGAATGGTTGGCATTGAGCAGCTTAGCCTGGTGGTGGTTTTAAAGATATTGTGTAGCCATTCTAGTAGGTGGTGGTAGTATATACTTGTGGTTTGAATTTGCATTTTCCTAATAACAAATGATGTTGAGCATCTTTCCATGTACTCATTTGCATCTGTGTATCTTCTGTAGTGAAGTGTGTCTGCTTACATTTATTTTTCAGCAGCTTTATTGAGGTACCATTGACATGCAACAGACTGCCTATATTTTTACAGTGGGCATTTTGATAAGTTGACATCTGTTTACACCCCTGAAATCATAACAAGGCTATAAACATATTCCTACCTGCCTGAAGTTACCTCATACTCCTTCGCAAGTTCTCGCCTGCCCTGTCCTGTGCTGCTCCCTACATCCCCAGGCAACCACTGATCATCTTTCCGTTGCCCCGTAGTGCATTTCCTATGAAAGTATAGAAGGTCATATGGGATATACTTTTTTTTTTTGGTCTGGTTTTACTCAGCATACTTCAAGATTCATTCTTGTCGAATGTAGCAATAGTTCATTCCTTTTTACTGCTGTCTCATATTCCATTGTATGGATATACCACTGTTTATACATTTACCAGTTGATGGAAATTTGGGTTATTTCCAATGTTTATCTATTATAAAAAAAGCTGCTGTGAACATTTGTTTACATCTCTTTGTAAGACATGTTTTTGTTTTGTTGGGGGTAGATACCTAGGAATAGAATGGTTGTATTATATGGTATGTGCATGTTTAACTTGTTAAAAAGCAGGCCAAACTGTTTTCCAAAGTGGTTATGCCATCTCTAGTACTACTAGCAGTTTTAAAGAATTCTGTTTTTTGGTGACCCCCCAGGATCAGGGGACCCAAGTTGCCTAAGTGGGGGTAAACCAGCCCAAGTCGGAAATGGAGCAGGTCAAAACTCCCGTGCTGATCAGTAATGGGATTGCGCCTGTGAATAGCCACTGTACTCCAGCCTGGGCAACATAGCAAGACCCTGTCTCTAATAAAAATAAAAATAAATTTAAAAAATTAAAAAGAGACTGGTGTGGTGGCTTGCGCCTGTAATCCCAGCACTTTGGGAGGTCGAGGTGGGTTCAAGATCACGAGGTCAGGAGTTCAAGACCAGCCTGGCCAAGATGGCAAAACCCTGTCTCTACTAAAAATACAAATATTGGCTAGATGTGGTTATGCGCACCTGTATTCCCAGTTACTTGGGAGGCTGAGGCAGAAGAATCACTTCAATTCAACCCAGGAGGCAGAGGTTACAGTGAGCCGAGATTGTGCCACTGCACTCCAGCCTGAGCAACGGAGTGAGACTCCGTCTCAAAAAGAAAAAAAGAATTATACTTTCGGCCGGGCGCGGTGGCTCAAGCCTGTAATCCCAGCACTTTGGGAGGCCGAGGCGGGTGGATCACAAGGTCGAGAGATCGAGACCATCCTGGTCAACATGGTGAAACCCCGTCTCTACTAAAAATAGAAAAAATTAGCTGGGCATGGTGGCACGTGCCTGTAATCCCAGCTACTCAGGAGGCTGACGCAGGAGAATTGCCTGAACCCAGGAGGCGGAGGTTGCCGTGAGCCGAGTTCGCGCCATTGCACTCCAGCCTGGGTAACAAGAGCGAAACTCCGTCTCAAGAAAAAAAAAAAAAAGAATTATACTTTCTGCATATCTTTGCTAATGCTTGGGATGTTCAGTTTTTAATTTTAGCCATTTAAGAAGGTGTGTAGTGGTATTTTATTGTGGCTTTAATTTGTATTTCCTCAAATGGCAAATGATGTTGAGCATCTTTTCAAGTGGTTGTTTTCCATCTCTGTATAATCTTGGATAAAGTGTCATTCAAATCTCTTGCCATGTTGTTTATCTTTGTGTTGCTGAGTTATAGGAATTCTTCATATAGTCAAGAGTACAAGTCCTTTTTCAGATATATGTATTTCAAATATTTTCCCTCCCTGTAGCTTGCCTTTCCATTTTGGTAACACTATCTTTTGAAGAGAAGTCTTTAGTACATTTTTTAAATTTTAATTTTTTGCTCAAGTTCAACCTAAACCATAACTGTTAAGTTGAACTTGATCATAATTTAAAACCATCTGTCAGAATAGACAGATGGTTTTAAATTATGATCAAGTTCAACTTAACAGTTATGGGTTTTTTTAAGCATAGAATATACAGTCCCTTTAATGTAATCATTGATATTTTTGGGTTAATTTTTTTTTTTTTTTCGAGACAGAGTTTTGCCCTTGTTACCCAGGCTAGAGTGCAAAGGCGCAATCTCGGCTCACCGCAACCGCTGCCTCCTGGGTTCAGGCAATTCTCCTGCCTCAGCCTCCTGAGTAGCTGGGATTACAGGCATGCGCCACCATGCTCAGCTAATTTTTTGTATTTTTAGTAGAGACGGGGTTTCACCATGTTGACCGAGATGGTCTCGATCTCTTGACCTCATGATCCACCTGCCTCGGCCTCTCAAAGTGCTGGGATTATAGGCATGAGCCACTGTAATTTTTTTTTTTTTTTTTTTTTAAGACAGAGCCTCGCTCAGTCACCCAGGCTGGAGTGCAGTGGCATGATCTCAGCTCACTGCAACCTCTGCCTTCCAGGTTCAGTGATTCTCCTGCCTCAGCGTCCTGAGTGTCTGGGTTTACAGGTGCACACCACCACACCTGGCTAATTTTTTCGTATTTTTAATGGAGATGCATTTCACCGTGTTGGCCAGGCTGGTCTCCAGCCTCTGACCTCAGGTGATCGGCCTGCCTCTGCCTCCCAAAATGCTGGGATTACAGGCGTGAGCAAGCATACCCCACCATGTTGGGTTAATTATATCATTCTGTTATTGTTTTTTCCTCCATTTCTTTTTTTTCTTTTTTTTTTTGCTTTTTTCTTTTTAAGAGATGGCAATCTCACTATGTTACCTAGGCTTGAACTCCTGGACTCAGGGTTATAGGCATCTGTCACCACACCTGACTTTCCATTTGATGGGGTTTTATGTGTCACTATTCCTTTTATTTAACCTGCTTGTTAGTGACTTGAGTGATTTTAGTTTACTATTTTCTTCCTTTTCTTGTCTTTTATTTTTAACTCTTCATGTTGCTTTTTTTTTTTTTTTTTTTTTTAAAGAGATGGAATCTTGTTCTGTTGCCCAGGCTGGAGTGCAGTGGTACAGTCATGGCTCACTGCAGCCTCACACTCCTGAACTCAAGTGATCCTTCTGCCACACCATCCAAAGTAGCTGGGACCACAGGCATGCACGACTATGTCTGGCTAATTTTTGTATTATTATTATTATTTTGAGACAGACTCTGGCTCTGTCACTCAGGCTGGAATGCAGTGGAGCAATCTCGGCTTACTGCAACCTCTGTCTTACAGATATAGGTGATTCTGCAGCCTCAGCCTTTCTTGCAGCTGGAATTACAGGCACCTGCAACCATGCCCAGCTAATTTTTGTAGTTTTAGTAGAGATGGGATTTCACCATGTTGGCCAGGCTGATCTCAAACTTTTGACTTCAGGTGATTCACCTACCTCGGCCTCCCAAAGTGTTGGGGTTACAGGCATGAGCCACTGCCCCACTGACATTTTTTTTTTTTTTTTGCAGGCACACACCTGTGGTCCCAAATACTCAGGAGGGTGAGACAGGAGGATCATTTGAGCCTGGGAAGTTGAGTCTGCAGTGAGGTCTGATTGCACCACTGCCACTCCAGCCTGGGCAACTGGGCAACAGAGTGAGACCTTATTAAAAAAATTTATTTTGCTGGGCTGATCTCGAACTGACCTTGTGATCTGCCCACCTCGGCCTCCCAAAGTGCTGGGTTTATAGGCATGAGCCATTGTGCCTGGCTTAACTTTCTTTATGGGTTAAATTTTCCTGCTTCTTTGCATGTTTGTAGCTTTTAAAATTATTTACCAGAAATTGTATATTGATGAACAGTAAGTAATATTGATGTGAGCTGGATGTGGTGCCTCATACCTGTAATTACAGCACTTTAGGAGGCTGAGGTGGGAGGATCACTTGTGGCCAAGAGTTTGATACCAGCCTGGGCAATATAGCAAGACCCTGTCTCTACAAATTTTTTTTAAAAACTTAGCTGGGTATGGTGATGTACATTTGTGGTGCCAGCTCCTCAGGAGGCTGAGTAGGAGGATTGCTTGAGCTCAGGGAGTCAAGGCTGCTATGAGCTGTGATTGTGCCACTGCACTCCAGCCTGGGCAACAGAAAAAGGACCTATCTTTAAAAAAAAAAAAAAAAAAAAAATCCTAAAAACTGAAGTGAATGTTTTTTCCCTCTAAGGCAGCAATCCCCAACCTTTTTGTCACCAGAGTCTGGTTTTGTGGAAGGCAGTGTTTTCACAGACCGAGGTGGGGGATGTGTGGGATGGTTTTGTGATGAAACTATTCACCTCAGATCATCAGACACTAGATTCTCATAATGAGATCCCTCACATGTGCAGTTCACGTTAGGGTTTGCACTCCTATGAGAATCTAATGCTGCTGATGTGACAGGAGGCAGAGATCAGGTGGTAATGCTCGCTGGCCCGTTGCTCACCTCCTGCTGTGTGGCCCTGTTTGTAACAGGGTACGACCAGTACTGGTCCATGGCCTGGGGGTGGGGACTTCTGTTCTAAGGCATGCCCCTTCCTCTATAAGGCCAGTAATGTGGAGAGCTGATTCCATTTAATCTGCAGTGGAGCTGGGTGTGGACTTTGTTGCAAGTTTAGCTAGATTCAGTTGAACATTGGCTTTAGTGCCTTTGAGACTTTGAATCAAACACTGACAAGATTTTCAGGTCTCTTGCTGTGCTTTACTGCCATGGTGCTAGGTTTTTGGGCCTTTGCAGGATTTCTGCAAGAAACAAAGGTTGCAAAGCATAGCCTTAGATGCTGGATTGTAACTTGTGTGGCTCTGATTCGGGGTTCTTTGTTTCCTTGTCTAAAACAGGTATTCATGGAGTGGAGAGCCACTGTTTTTGACCTGCCCTGCATCAGAAGTCACCGAGCTCCCCGCCTGCAGCCAGTGTGGAGGCCAAAGGATATTTGAGTTTCAGCTTATGCCAGCACTGGTCAGCATGCTCAAGAGTGCTAATTTAGGTGAGAAGCCCTTTATTAATTTGAGTTTGTGGATTTCTGGCATTATTTTTATTTTTATTTATTTATATATATTTTTAGTTTTTTTCTTATTTTCTTTATTTTTTCTTTGTTTTTCTTTTCTGTGACATTATTTTTAAATAAAAGAAAAACTTTTGGCCGGGCGCGGTGGCTCAAGCTTGTAATCCCAGCACTTTGGGAGGCCGAGGCGGGTGGATCACGAGGTCGAGAGATCGAGACCATCCTGGTCAACATGGTGAAACCCTGTCTCTACTAAAAATATAAAAAATTAGCTGGCATGGTGGCGCGTGCCTGTAATCCCAGCTACTCAGGAGGCTGAGGCAGGAGAATTGCCTGAACCCGGGAGGCGGAGGTTGCGGTGAGCCGAGATCGCGCCATTGCACTCCAGCCTGGGTAACAAGAGCGAAACTCCGTCTCAAAAAAAAAAAAAAAAAAAAAAAAAAACTTTTTGTTTACTTATAAAATGTCAGCAAATTATAGAAAATTTGAGAGTGAAAAAATTATTTGAAGAAATTTCGGCCGGGTAGAGTGGCTCACATCTATAATCCCAGCACTTTGGGAGGCCGCGGTGGGCGGATCACGAGGTCAAGAGATCGAGAACAAACTAACTGGCCAACATGGTGAAACCCCATCTCTACTAAAATACAAAAAATTAGCCTGGCATGGTGATACGTGCCCATTGACCCAACTACTTGGGAGGTTGAGGCGGGGGTATCGCTTGAACCTGGGATGCAGAGATTGCAGTGAGACAAGATTGAGCCACTGTACTGCCTGGCAACAGAGTAAGACCCTGTCGCAAAAAAACAAAACAAAACTGGTTGGACTGTAAATTTTGGGGGGTTTTTTTTGTTTGTTTTTTTGAGATGAAGTCTCTCTCACCCAGGCTGGAGTTCAGTGGCATGTTCTCAGCTCACTGCAACCTCTGCCTCCCAGGTTCTAGCAATTCTCCTGCCTCAGCCTCCCAAGTAGCTGTGATTACAGATGCCTGCCAACACGCCCAGCTAGTTGTTATATTTTTAGTAGTGATGGGGTTTCACCATGTTGGCCATCCTGGAATTTTTTTTTTTTTTTTTTTGAGACAGAGTTTTGCTCTTGTTACCCAGGCTGGAGTGCAATGGCGCGATCTCGGCTCATCGCAACCTCCGCCTCCCGGGTTCAGGCAATTCTCCTGCCTCAGCCTCCTGAGTAGCTGGGATTACAGGCACGTGCCACCATGCCCAGCTAATTTTTTGTATTTTTAGTAGAGACGGGGTTTCACTATGTTGACCGGGATGGTCTCGATCTCTTGACCTCGTGATCCATCCGCCTCAGCCTCCCAAAGTGCTGGGATTACAGGCTTGAGCCACCGCGCCCGGCTGGAATTTTTTATTTTTTGTAGAGACAGGGTTTTGCCATGTTGCCCAGACTGGTCTCAAACTCCTGGACTCAAGCGATCTTCCCATCTTGGCCTCCCGAAGTGATTACGAGCATGAACCATGCCTGGCCAGAAATTGCAACTATTATCAATGTTAATAACTATTATTCCCATCATCATTTTTGACATAAAGACAGATAGCAAATTAAATGACTGTATGGATGGCTAGAAGAAAATAATTCTCCTAAAATAGGAAAATTCACTAACATGGTAATTAAAAGTCTTAGAATAAATTTTTGTACAAATTAACGGAAGAATGTTAAGTGTAAGTGAAGCAGTTACTGGACTGGTAATAGGGTTCTTTAAAGTTGCTTCTCTTATTAACAGAAAACTACATTCTTTTATGTTTCAGTTTTAGATAGTCTGCATCTGGTTCCTTACCATAGTAGATAAGGAAATTTATACCCTATTCCTACCTTGAAATATTTCAGTTTTTTTTTTTGTTTTTTTTTTTTTGAGTTTCGCTCTTGTTACCCAGGCTGGAGTGCAATGGCGCGATCTCGGCTCACCGCAACCTCTGCCTCTTGGGTTCAGGCAATTATCCTGCTTCAGCCTACTGAGTAGCTGGGATTACAGGCACGCGCCACCACGTCCAGCTAATTTTTGTATTTTTTTTTAGTAGAGATGGGGTTTCACCATGTTGACCAGGATGGTCTGGATCTCTTGACCTCGTGATCCACCCGCCTCGGCCTCCAAAAGTGCTGGGATTACAGGCGTCAGCCACCGCACCCGGCCTTTTTTTTTTTTTTTTGAGACGGAGTTTGGCCCAGGTTGGAGTGCAATGGCGTGATCTTGGCTCACTGCAACCCCTCCTTCGCAGGTGAAAACAATTCTCCTGCCTCAGCCTCCTGAGTAGCTGGCATTACTGGTGCCCACCACCACATCCAGCTAAATTTTTGTATTTTTAGTAGAGATGGGTTTCAGTGTGTTGGCCAGGCTGGTCTCAAACTCCTGACTTCAGGTAATCCACCTGCCTTGGCCTTCCAAAATGCTGGGATTACAGCCATGAGCCACCGCATCCAGCCTCAGTATCTTTTTTTTTTTTTTTTTTTTTTGAGATGGAGCCTCACCCTGTCACTCAGGCTAGAGTGCATTGGCACTGTCTCGGCTCACAGCAACCTCCATCTCCCTAGTTCAAGTGATCCAACCTTAGCCTCTGAGTAGCTGGGATTATAGGCACCCCACACCACGCCGTGCTAATTTTATATGTTTAGTAGAGACAGCATTTCGCCTTGTTGGCCAGACTGGTCTCAAATTCCTAGCCTCAAGTGATCTGCCTCTCAAAGTGCTGGGATTACAAGTATGAGCCACCGTGCCTGGCCAATATAATTTTTTTTCTTTTTTTTTGCGGCAGAGTCTTGCTCCATCTTCCAGGCTGGAGTGCAGTGGTGTGATTAGGCTCACTGCAGCCTCTGCCTTCCAGGTTCAAGCGATTCTCCCACCTCAGCCTCCCAAGTAGGTGGGATTACAGACACCTACCACCACACACAGTTAATTTTTATATTTTTAGTAGAGATGGGGTTTCGCCATGTTGGTCAGGCTGGTCTCAAACTCCTGACCTCAGGTGATTGACCTGCCTCAGCCTCCCAAAGTGCTGGGATTACAGGCATGAGCCACTGTGCCCAGCCTCATTTTTACATTATCAAGATTTACAAGTCTGTATGCTGCAATCATAATTATTACAGCTCTTTGGATAGCCTTAGTTCTGTGTACAAATGGATTCAGTGTTCATCACCACTCTTACAGTGAGCTCTTTTATTCCTGAATTATTTCGATTCTTTTTGCAATATCTGGATTTTATCAAGTAATAGCCTTAAGGAGGGCTCAGAGGTGTCTTGCTTCAGATTGTGCATGGTAATGTGTGTTCACATTTTAGGGGCAACCCATGTATAAATTTTTAAATCCTGCTTTTCTCTTTTCAGACCTTGTAGACCCCTGTGTTGTCTTCTGACAGTGAAAGCCCTGCCAGCCCTTTGCCCTGGTGCCTCCCGTCATCTCCCAGTGGTTCTGTCTCACTGGGAAGTATATTTGTCTGGAAGGGCTTATGGGCATTCTAGAGTCAGATTTTTCACTCATAGAAATGTGTTTTGGATGGAATGTAGCGTTGTAGGGGTCTGAGGGTGGCCTGATTTTTCCCCTACTTTGTAACTAACATTTCTGCCACGATACTGTTAGCAGCAGCAAATCTGTAGGGGTCTGCAGCAACCTCAGTTCTTGCCTGCTAAGAAGAAAGAATTTGACCGAGGCACATAAGGCGGAGGAGAGACCAAAGCAAATTTTAGAGTGGGAGTGAAAACTTACTAGAAAGTTTTTTGGTTTTTTTTTTTTTTTTTTTTTTTGAGACGGAGTTTCGCTCTTGTTACCCAGGCTGGAGTGCAATGGCGCGATCTCGGCTCACCGCAACCTCCGCCTCCTGGGCTCAGGCAATTCTCCTGCCTCAGCCTCCTGAGTAGCTGGGATTACAGGCACGTGCCACCATGCCCAGCTAATTTTTTGTATTTTTAGTAGAGACGGGGTTTCACCATGTTGACCAGGATGGTCTCGATCTCTCGACCTTGTGATCCACCCGCCTCGGCCTCCCAAAGTGCTGGGATTACAGGCTTGAGCCACCGCGCCCGGCCTAACTAGAAAGTTTTAGAGCAGGAGTGAAAGAAAGTAAAGTACACTTGGAAGATGGTCAAGTAGGCAGCTTGAGAGCTTCAAGTGACCATTTGACCTTTGACTTGGAGTTTTATACTTCTGAGTCTTGTGTTACTTCTCTTGTTTCTTCCCTTGGGGTGGGCTGTCCACGTGCCTAGTGGCCTGCCAGCTCTTGGGAGAGGCCACATGTACAGTGCAGCTACTGGAGTTGTACGCATGCTCACTGCTCACTTGAGGTACTTTTCCCTTACCAGTCAAATGCTCCTAGAGGAAGGTCGTATACCTTCCTCCATTTTTTGTTTGTTTGTTGAGACAGAGTCTTACTCTGTTGTTCAGGCTGGAGTGCAGTGGCATGATCTCTTCTCACTGCAGTCTCTTCCTCCCAGGTTGAAGCGCTTGTCCTGTCTCAGCCTCCCAAGCAGCTGGGACTACAGGTGCCTGCCACCACACCCAGCTAATTTTTTGTATTTTTAGTAGAGACAGGGTTTCACCATATTGTCCAGGCTGGTCTTGAACTCCTGACCTCAGGTGATCCGCCAGCCTCGGCCTCCCAAAGTGCTGGGATTACAGGTATGAGCCTCTGTGTTGTGCCCAGCCAATGCACACATTTTTAAACAATGTATTTCTCCTTTGCTGCTGCAAGTCATTGTCTATGTCATCCTCTTGATTCTTGCATTTCTGTTCTAATATCTGGAGTTATTGCTTATGTTTTCTTGGTATCATTTTATATGGCTTTACTCATTGATCATTTTCTATAAACTCTTAGGGTTTATTTATCTTTTTTTTTGAGACGGAGTTTCGCTCGTTACCCAGGCTGGAGTGCAATGGTGCGATCTCTGCTCACCGCAACCTCCGCCTCCTGGGTTCAGGCAATTCTCCTGCCTCAGCCTCCTGAGTAGCTGGGATTACAAGCATGCACCACCATGCCCAGCTAATGTTTTGTATTTTTAGTAGAGACGGGGTTTCACCATGTTGACCAGGATGTTCTTGATCTCTTGACCTCATGATCCACCCGCCTCGGCCTCCCGAAGTGCTGGGATTACAGGCTTGAGCCACCGCACCCGGCTCTTAGGGTTTATTTTATATTTTTTTGCCTGAATCCTTATCCTTTCTTGGCAGTAGTGTGTTCCATGATAGATATATTTCTCTTTTCTTTTCTTTTTCTTTTTTTTTTTAGATAGGGCCTCACTATGTCACCCTGGCCAGAGTACAGTGGTGCAATCATAGCTCATTGCTGCTTTGATTTCCTGGGCTCAAGCAATCCTCCTGCATTAGCCTCCTGAGTAGCTGGGACTACAGTTGTACACCACTACGCTTGGTGGATTTTTGTTTTTGCTTAGTAAAGTCTATGTTACCCAGGCTATATATATATTTATATATATGTATTCTTTTTTGTTTTTAACTACTTTTTTTTTTTTTTTTGAGATGGCGTTTTGCTCTTGTTACCCAGGCTGGAGTGCAATGGCGCGATCTCAGCTCACCGCAACCTCTGCCTCCTGGGTTCAGGCAATTCTCCTGCCTCAGCCTCCTGAGTAGCTGGGATTACAGTTTTTTTTTTTTTTTTTTTTTTTTTTTTTTTGTAGAGACAGAGGTTTCACTATGTTCCCTAGGCTGGGTTCAAGCTGTCCTCCCCCATTGGCCTTCCAAAGTGCTGGGATCACAGGCGTAAGCCACCGCACCTAGTCAAAAGCTATGGATATATATATATATATATACTTTTTTTTTTTTTTTTTTGAGACGGAGTTTCGCTCTTGTTACCCAGGCTGGAGTGCAATGGCGCGAGCTCGGCTCACCGCAACCTCCGCCTCCTGGGTTCAGGCAATTCTCCTGCCTCAGCCTCCTGAGTAGCTGGGATTACAGGCACGTGCCACCATGCCCAGCTAATTTTTTGTATTTTTAGTAGAGACAGGGTTTCACCATGTTGACCAGGATGGTCTCGATCTCTTGACCTCGTGATCCGCCCGCCTCAGCCTCCCAAAGTGCTGGGATTACAGGCTTGAGCCACCGTGCCCAGCTGATTTATAACATAGATTTTCAACATCAGACAGTCTAGACAGTTGTAATGAAGACATGTTGAAACTTATTTTTAAAGTATATTTTTCTGCCACTTTAAATTAACTCTGCTTTTTGTTATCAATGTTCACTTATTACAGGATAGACTGTGATTTTGTTACAGCTGAAAGCAGTAAGCACTGTTTTTGCTTTACCGAATTATTTTTTCAGTTTATAATAAAGTCACTCCTTTTAGTAACATCAGTCTCATAACTCTTTTTGCTGGAAGCCTGAATATGTTGTATTTTTCAGGTCTTTCTGTGGAATTTGGAACAATTCTAGTTTATACATGTGAGAAGAGTTGCTGGCCCCAAAATCATCAGACCCCCATCGAAGAATTTTGTATTATACAAGAAGACCCAGATGAATTATTGTTTAAGTAGACCATTTCCTTTTATCAATGTAAATTAAAACAAATTTTTATGTCCAAATATGTGGTGTATGTGCCTTATTTAACTCACAAGTTATTAACCTCTGTTTTCCTGAGTTGCCAGTTTGCCTTTGGGGGCTGGGGCTAGGGCTGGGCCAGGACCTCCTAACTATGGGTTGGTCTACCCTCCCAGGGTCCAGGGCCAGCTGTCACAGTGGCAGCTAGGAAAGTAGCGCCTCTCTAGTCTAGAGGGCTGGTGTTACCTGCACAGCCATCCCAGTCGGCATTCTAGCTGGGTGGGAGAGCAGGAAAAGAGCCAAGAGCAGTGGTCAGCTTCTTGTTTACCCCTCTCACCTGCACTCCAGTGCTCCCTATGCTATTCCTGGCACCTCATCAAGCCACTGAACCTGCTCTAGCTGCTGGAGGTTCCGGCTCTGTAACCCTGGCTGTTTAGACCTGCCCATGTTCATCAGCTCGGGTCACGGCCCTTACCCACTCCCACCTTCTGCTTCTGCAGCATCCCAAGAAGGAGTCTTTACTCCTTTCTGGAGATTGTCCCTTTATCCAGCTGCCTTCCAGTCTCCCCTTTTCTTTTCTTTTTTTTTTTTTAAGACGGGGTTTCACCATGTTGGTCAGGCTGGTCTTGAACTCCCGACCTCAGGTGATCCGCCCGCCTTGGATTACAGGTGTGAGCCACCATGCCTGGCCCCAGTCTCCCCTTTCTTTATTTACTTTTAATATTATCAACCCTTTCCCTTCTTCAGCCCTATAACAGCAGTATAAAAACATTCCGAGCCATGTTCAGACATGTTCTGCCTGTGTAGATGAGGATAATGAGGTCCAGGTGATCATGGGGTGGGGTTTTCTCTTTTGCATTTAACATTATATTTGGAGCATTTCCCCATTCATATTTTTTCCACAACATAATTTATAATTGCTGTAAAGCGTTTTTAAAATATACGTCAAAAGCTTTATACAATTTTTAACCACCTGTTTATTCCAATTTTTATTCCCATGATAACCATCCCTATAGCTAATCTATATTTTTTTAATCAGGGATACCTGCTACAAGACAGTTTCCTAGAATTGGAATGAATAAGTCAAAAGTTGTGCACAATTTTAGGTTTTGTTTTGTTTTTTGCCAAGACAGGGTCTTAGTCTCTCAGGCTGGAGTGCAGTATTGAGGTCATAGCTCACTGCAGCCTCGACCTCCCAGGCTCATGTGATCCTCCTGCCTTAGCCTCCTGAGTAGTTGGGGTCTACAAGTGCAAGCCACCATGCCCTCTAGAGAAGTTTTGCTTTGGAATTCTTACCTGGAGTGTGGGAGTGGTTGTTTTTCAATCCCTAGATAAGTGTTACTTTTTTTCCTTCTACCAGTTTAGTAGGTGGAGTGCAGTGGTGCAAACTGCACCTCCTGGGTTCAAGCAATTCTCTTGCCGCACCCTCCTGAGTAGTTGAGACTAAAGGCTTGTGCCACCACACCTGGCTGTTTTTTTGTTTTTTTTTTTTTCAAACGGTCTCGCTCTGTTGCCCAGGCTGGAGTGCAGTGGTGCGATCTTGGCTCACTGCAACCTCTACCTCCTGGGTTCAAACAATTCTCCTGTCTTAGCCTCCCGAGTAGGTGAGAGTACAGGCACGCTCCACCACACCCAGCTAATTTTTGTATTTTTAGTAGAGATGGTGTTTCACCATGGTGGTCTGGTTTTGAACTCCTGACATCGTCATCCGCCCGCCTCAGCCTACCATTGGCACTACAGGTGTGAGCCACTGCGCCCGGCTGGTGAAAATCTTAATACCATTGTGAATGGTTTACAATTTTTTTTTGAGATGGAGTCTCGCTGTGTTGCCCAGGCTGTAGTGCTGTGGCACAATCTTGGCTCACTGCAACCTCCGCCTCCCGGGTTCAAGCCATTCTCCTGGCTCAGCCTCCTGAATAGCTGGGATTACAGACGCATGGCACCACGCCCAGCTAATTTTTGTATTTGTAGTAGAGACGGGGTTTCACCATGTTGGTCAGGCGGGTCTCGAACTCCTGACCTCATGATCCGCCCGCCTCAGCGCCCCAAAGTGAGCCACTGCGCCTGGCGGTTTACCTTTTTTTTTTTTTTGAGATAGAGTGTAGATCTGTTGCCCAGGATAGAATGCAGTCGTGCGATCTTGGCTCACTCTAACCTCCACCTCCAGGGCTGAAACGATTCTTGCATGGTTTATATTTTGATAGGCTCATTGATCATATTGTCCAATTATTTGTGAGTTTCCTGTTCACATCCTTTGCCTATATTTTTTGGGGGGTGACTCTTGTTAATTTGTAAGAGCTCTTCACAGGAGTATCAGTTTTCTAACCTGTACGGAAGTCTTGGCTGGGAGTTGAAACCCCAGGTTAGAAGGCGACCCTTCAACTTTTTCGGCCTGATAGCGGGCCTGTGCTGCTGTGGGAATAACACAGCCGGCCTCAGTGGGAGGTCGCCAGGTTTTTGCAAGATCAGGACCGCGCCTGGAACAGTCAGCGCTGCCGGGTCTGGCCCGCCGGATCCCGCCTGTGACTGCTGGAGGCCACAGTGCGCAGGAGCGGAAGCCGGGCCGCCCTTCCCCCACCCGCTTCCGGCCGAGTCTCGGTTCTCCCGCCTCCGCCTCTGCCGCGCTCGTGGTTGTCCCGCCATGGCACTGTCGCGGGGGCTGCCCCGGGAGTTGGCTGAGGCGGTGGCCGGGGGCCGAGTGCTGGTGGTGGGCGCGGGCGGCATTGGCTGCGAGCTCCTCAAGAACCTCGTGCTCACCGGCTTCTCCCACATCGACCTGGTGAGGCCTGGGTGCGCGCGGTTGAATGGCGGGCTGTGGTGCGGGGGCCGGGGTTCGGGGGTTCTGGAACTCTCGTGGCTCTGAGGCTCGGGACCCCTAGCCTGGGTCCGAAGTTGCGGGGCGGGGACAAGTGAGAGGCCCGGGTTGTGGCCCCTCGCGGGAGGGGACTGTTCTTTAGGGATGGGGCGGGCCTCTGCTCGCTGGGCCGGCTTCGGACGCCGAGGAGGCCGCGTGCCCCCGCCTCCCGGGCAGCGCCAATGTGTGGCGCTTCTAGGGCGTGAAGCCGCCTTGTATCCTTGCTTCAAAACAAATCCCCAGCTGCTAGGGGATACGGAAGAGGACCGAGTCCCTCACGGATATTGTAACTTTAATTTGGAGGTCGCCCTCCTAGCTCTGAAGTAAAGACCCAGGGCGGAGGATGATGGTGATAGCGACCTACCCGTCCCGAGCACTGGTCGCGTGCGGGTTTACATACAGAACGCGCTCCATCTTCACATCACCCGAGGACTGCAAACGCTGTTTCCACCGTGCTTTATTTTTAACAAATGAGGAAAGGGAGACGCAATGGAGTTGAGTAACTTACTCTGGGTCACGGAGCGAGTGGCAGGGCTCCCGCAGGCTGCGTGACTGTCATTGCACTCGCAGTAGATGGTACACTCGCTTGTTTCATTAAAGACGTTAGGATTATGCTCTTTGCGTTAGTGTACACTGACAAGAAGCCAGTACTATTTTGAATCAAGTTGTTTATACTAATGCAAACTTTTTGGAGATTGGAGATGTTACCTGGCCCTAGGGTGTGAGTTGAAAGTGTTTTAAGGGTTAGTGGAAACATGGAATGAACAAAAAAGTAGAGCTGGCCTACTGAATCATTGTTGCTTCCATTTATATATTGTATATTTAATCCTAAATTAGATCACATTTAACACATGACACTTGTTTAAACCATGTGTAAAAGTTTCCTTTCACAGTTCTCAGGTTAATAGTAAAGTAAATTGTGTATGGATGAAGACGAAGTAAGGGAGGCAGCAAAAATTCAGTAAATGTTTGCCATGTATCATTTAAGAAAAAGAACATGCCGGGCGCGGTGGCTCACGCCTGTAATCCCACCACTTTTGGGCCACTATGCCCAGCTAATTTTCGTATTTTTAGCAGAGATGGAGTTTCACCATGTTGCCTAGGTTGATCTCAAACTCCTGACCTCAGGTGATCTTCCTGCCTGTGCTTCCTAAAGTACTGAAATGACAGGCGTGAGCCACCGCACCCAGCCAATTTCTGAATCCCCAAATTTTTGTATAGGTCAAACGTCAGGGAACTCAGTGACCAACTCAACCAAATATACTATAGAGTTTCAAATGAATAGCAGGGTTTTTTTCTTTTTTCTTTTTTTTTTTTTTTCCGAGACGGAGTTTTGCTCTTGTTACCCAGGCTGGAGTGCAATGGCGCGATCTCCACTCACCGCAAACTCTGCCTCCTGGGTTCAGGCAATTCTTCTGCCTCAGCCTCGTGAGTAGCTGGGATTACAGGCACGCACCACCATGTCCAGCTAATTTTTTGTATTTTTAGTAGAGACGGGGTTTCACCATGTTGACCAGGATGGTCTCGATCTCTTGACCGCGTGATCCACCCGCCTCGGCCTCCCAAAGTGCTGGGATTACAAGCTTGAGCCACCGCGCCCGGCCGACAAGTGTTTTCTTAACGTTAAACCCTGCTATTGGCCGGGCGCGGTGGCTCAAGCCTGTAATCCCAGCACTTTGGAAGGCCGAGGCGGGTGGATCACGAGGTCAAGAGATCGAGACCACCCTGGTCAACATGGTGAAACCCCGTCTCTACTAAAAATACAAAAAATTAGCTGGACATGGTGGTGCGTGCCTGTAATCCCAGCTACTCACGAGGCTGAGGCAGAAGAATTGCCTGAACCCAGGAGGCAGAGTTTGCGGTGAGTGGAGATCGCGCCATTGCACTCCAGCCTGGGTAACAAGAGCAAAACTCCGTCTCAAAAAAGAAAGAAAGAAAAAGAACACAACTAGGGGAACATAGGGAAACCTCCTCTCTACCAAAAAAAAAAAAAGAGTTAGCTGCGTATGGTGGCGTGCACCTGTGGTCCCAGCTACCCAGGAGGCTGTGTCTGAAGGATTGCTTGAGCCTGGGAGGTTGAGGCTGCAGTGAACTGTGTTTGCACCACTGCACTGCAGCCTGGGCAACAGAGTGAGACCCTGTCTCAAAAAAAAAAAAAGAAAAAGAACAGAGCACAGTTAAATTTAATAT